GCGGAGCCGGGGCTCGCACTGTGCAGGCAACCACAGACTCTTCCAGAATCTGGAGCTGAGCAAATGTGATGCCATTTTGCTAAGCGGGGAGGAAGGGATGAGCATCCTGCTGCCATGACAGCCAGGAAACTCCACTGAGGACCGCTGACCGCCTAGAAAGTGTGTCCAACTCTGATCTCCTCTGGTAGGGATAGAGCTGGGGGAGATATCTCGGGGCTTTAAGCCAATTTCTCTGCAGAATTCCCTGGTGACTTTAGAAATCTCTTTGCATCCCTCTGTGCTCATCACAGTGAAGAAGACACAGCTGCAGTGCTGCGTATTTGATGATCAAGGCGATTACAGCAGGCCAGGGGTGACACCAGAGCAGCTTTTTTTGCGAGGCTGTGCCCTGTACGGACCTACGCAGCCCTGTGAGTCCTTGATCCCCCAGAGCAGATCCCCCACCTCGGGGATCCCATCCAGGCGGCTTTCTGTGCACAGCCTGGAGCTGCTGCTCTGCTTCAGCCTCACTGCGATGCTTCTAAATATCACCCTGCAGGGTCTCAACCTGAGGTGGCTTTAATACTGACAGTAAGTCCCTGTCGATTCTGGGGACACCGTGCCCCTCGGATAGCAGTTGTGTCCCTGCAGTTGGCACTCCTGTCATGTTAGGCCAGCAATGAAGGGTCAGGTCCTTTCTTTGGAGGCCTGGCAGTGTACGCAGGCTGAGGGTCCAGCCTGATTACACTGGAGAAAAATGGAAATATGAAAAGTCTTGTAAGCTCTGATCATCCCTTAGCAGCATCATAATCACATTATCAAGGCCAGCTTGGCTTGATGTGATTTATTTCATTATGAAGCATAATTCTCCCTGGAATTTTAGTTCTTGCCTGCCCTCCACCCCCAAATGTGCCAGCTCACAGCAGAAATTAATGTTGGGGGAGGGAGGATCCGAGTGTGAAGGCTACTGAGACATTTAAATATTGGTTTAACACACGCTGAGTGTCCTTTGTTAACGCCATGCTGAATTAGCGGGGTGGGTTTCAAGTCCTGCCAAGCAAAAACCCTGTGGATGCGCTCATGCAGCACGGGGCTGAGCCAGCCGACAGCCGCTGATTTGTGCAGTAACTCACTGCACACCTCGTACTGCGCTTCAGAGGTGGCAGGGGAATAACGGGTAGTGGATTTACTCCTCGTGAGGATTTGGCCCATGGACTTACGGTCCTCATTTAAAGTTTGCTGGAATTTCTTTAGAGAGGTCTCAGCCCTGGTGAAATTTGCTTTTGGGGTGTGTCCATGCAAAAAAATTTAGAAGATGTAACTTGGTGTTGAAAATGAATTATTTGAGAAACTGTGTTTGCTTTAGGGGCAGTTTGCCAGCCCTTCCCTTTGCTAGCGTTTGCGGTGGAGGCACTGCAGAGCGGGCCCTGCTTGCCGTGCTGGGGCAGCCTTGTGCTCACAGTTAGATCCCACCCTGAAACCCCACCAATTAACCCTGGGCTGCCTCTGCCCGTGGGTGCTAACTGCACACGTGCCGTGTCTCCAGCACAGCTGTTGTCTCTCGGTTTCACTTTTACATGTCTCTGTACGGTTCCCTATTTACCTTACAACCGTAATCTTTCTGTCCCGTCAGATCTGCAGGAGCTTTCGGTGCACAGTGAAAGAAACAATGCTGTTAGAGGTAGGAGGAGCTCGTCTGAACTGACAGTCCTGTGTACAAAATACCCAAACGTTTCCACGCCTCATCCTCTTGCTCCTTTCTAGGCTTATCACGTGTCCTTTCATCTCCAGACAAGTGGCTGACACAGTCCAAACCCCCACTTGGCACCTGCCCACCGTGCAGCATCCAGGCCACAAATAGCCCTGGCCAGTAACACCCAATTTCTGTTCTACCGTTATGCCCACGTTTCACTTCTTTGCAGATAATGGGAGCTAACCATGACATTGTTTAACGCTGCATCCCCTAAGTACAGCCCCTGCCTTCCCACCAGTGCCCACTTCTCCCCAGGTAAGGTAGGTCCTGCGTGGGACACGGCTCCAGGCCACTCCAAGGCCAAGTCTTCCCCTGGGGTGCGTTAGGGGAGCTGCTATCATCAGGAATAACTGCTACTGATGCAGAAATGTTCTCTGTGGCTCTTCCCCCAGTGACTCGCAGGATCCTCTGGAGCTGGGGGGGTTATAAACCAGCTGCAGACCAGGCTCTGCACAAGTGCCCATCCTGCCCCTTCCCTCGGCTTCCCAAGAGCCAAAGGGCACTGGGGTTTTCATGGCTCGCTGGGTGGTTAAAAGAGGATAATCATTAACCTACTGAGGACAGTCTTTCTTTTGTTAGGCCCTTTATCAGGTTATCTTGCTAACATAACTGGAGAGGATCTGGGTGACGGGCGGGGGAGAGGGGAGGCAATGTTCTGCGTAGCTTGTCTGTTCTCACAAAATCACAGCTGTCCCCAGCACGGGAGGCGGTGGCACAGAGGTAAGGTGCGTGTTCGCTGCCCTGTCAGGCCAGCCTGTTACGTACGGAGGTCTGGATTCACGTGGCTGTGACTGAGTTCCAGCCTAAAGCTCCCCAACAGCTGCGTCCAGATCTCCAGAGGTGCTTTCGCTAGAGGAAACCTTGGATGTGTCTGTGGGCACGACTTACCGTACAGGTCCTTTGCGCTCAGCTTGGCAGCTCCGTCGGCTTTGCCCATGCTGCCGCTGTAACAGAAAGAGGGTACAAATAAACGTCAGCTCCCCGATCTTTCAACATCTGCCTTCACACTGCAGCTCACCCGGTGATCAGCACAGCTCCCCCTGCAACCCTGCCTGCTGTCCCCACCACAGGCACGTCTGAACCCCAGCAGCTGGAAACGGGAGACCGAGGAGCCCACCTAGGCCTGTCCCCACTAGAGTTACCCTCACATGCAGTGTCCCCGGAAGGACATCGCTTCTGGAGGGTGGCTCCTGGTCAGTGGGTTTGTCCCTGGGAGCAGCGTGGGTAAACGGAGACCCCTCCGTGTGATACCCGAGTCCACCTGGGCCTGAGGCTGTGTAAGTGTGAGATTAAGGTCTGTTATTACTGGACTCTTTGGAGATCAGAGAAACAGAATGGTTGGGGTTGGAAGGGACCCCTGCCGTGAGCAGGGACCTTCAGCTAGCTCAGGTTGCTCAGAGCCCTTGAAGGCAGGCGCTCAGGGGCAGAACATGTCCCATGTAACAATGTGGAAGGACGCAGTTGTGTGTAAACACTTGAGTTTTGGGGTGTTGGGTCTCTAAGCATGGTTACATCCCCTGTAGGACCACGTCCCGTGCCTGGGTCGTGCGTAGGAATGTGCAGCCAGGAGGTAACAGTGTTTTCTCCGGCTCAGGCCTGGCAGGGGAGGATCAAAGTGGGACCTCAGTGAGCCAGTGGGCGGCTGATGGCTCCTTTCTGCTGTGTCACCATGTCCTCCTGAGGGCAGGAGTGGTTCGTGGTGCTCACAGACCTACACCCTGCTCTCCAGAGAGCAGGAGTGTGCAGGAAGGCTGGCAGGAAGGGGTGGTGGTGCCAGCCGCGAGACGGAGGAAGCCCCCCATGGAGATGCTTACTTTGATGAGCCGGGGTTGCTGCTGAGGGATCCCTTGAGACTCATGTCGCTTCGCAGGACAGGCAACTGCAGCAGAAGCAGAAGAGACAGGGTTAGTGATTAGAACACGCTATCAGGTGATTTATCCGGATGCGCGCTGCCCTTCCCTCCTCTGGCCTGGGGTCTCTGAGCTGAGTGCTTGATGAGAGGCAGACAGGCTCAGGTCAGACTTTTTTCCTTCTCTTTCAGATAAAAATTATAAATAATGTGAGTGAAGAGAGATCCAGGCACTGCTCTGAGAGCAGAACTGCAAGGAAAAAAAAAATAGAAGGGAAAACAAGGTACAATAAAACCTGAGGGGATGCTTTGTATCGGCATCCAAGATATTCACCTCTGCTCTGGTGCATGAGTTGAAGGAAACCCAAGACAAGTCTTCAAGGTTTTTATTCACTTTTGGAAAGCTCTGCCCGTGGGCTGGGCACTCCACGCCTCTTTTCTGCTTTGCCTGGGTCAGATCCCGCTCACCTTATTATAAGATTGTCAGAATTCAAAGGTATGGCTTTAAAATGCTCGTCATTGGCCTAGAGGAGGAAATTAATCAGTGTCTTCAGTGGGATTTCCTGTGAGGGGACCTTTGAACGTGCTAGGCGTGTGCCAGGGGCTGCTGTGACAGGCAGCGGAGCTTCCTCGGAAAGGTTTTCCTTAGCGGAGTTTAGTCTGAAGCTTGTGTAATCCCTGGGGAATACTTTGGAATCATCCCTGGCACCTGGGATTTCCCCTCTGCTGCAGGGTTTGTATCCTCAGCAGAGCTCCCCTAGATTCTCCACGTATCCGTGTTTATTTCTTGTGTTGGAAACACTTGTGGTGGGTGCTGAAACACTCCCAGTGTTTCACGCTGAGGTGAGGGCAGCTGCAGAGTTTTCTCACTGATGTTAACGAAGCTGCACGCCTGTCAGAGGGGTGTATTTTGTGGCGATCCCGCTCTGCAGGTGAGGCACGCGGCTTGCGTGCGGGCTGCACAGCGGCACACGCGGGTACACACAGACTGTACGGAGGAGCCCGGCGTGTTTTGGGCTCAGCCTTACGGCTGTCAGCCTGCTTTGTGTCACAGTAATGCTCCTCAGCGCTGAGATGCTGTTAGAAATTACTTTGAAGTGCATTTCGTAGCTAGTATATGAGTTTTTCCTTTTTTCACCTCTCCTGTGGTTGATACTAAAGCCCATGCACACACACACACATGCAGACAGAAATTCATACACACGTTGGAATAGAAACTTGGTGTTCTGCCAACCCCTCTGAGTGTAATAAAACCCTCCCCTGTGCCCAAGCTTGGGTACCTGTGAATTTTTCCTCTGTTAATAGCTGTCTGCTGGTTTCCTTTTACAGTCCTCAAACTGTTCCTATCTCCCAGATCTCTGTGTGCATTAGCATAAGATACCTGGAAAAGGGAACGTGCTCTAATAAACCCAGCTCTGCTCTGTTTGCTTTGCACCATCTCATCACTTTAGTCCCTGGCTGATGATCATAGCTGGGAATGTTTCTGCCGCTTAATAGAATATTTCTGCCTCCTTTTCACCTGCTGTCCCAGGGCTGTGTCCTCAGTGGACTGAAATCCAGGTTACTCCAGCAGGAGTGGCGCCGAGTTTGGCCCATGGAGTTCAGAGCTTGCTCCCCGGCCCCAGCTGAGAAACAGCAGGAGGAACCAGGGGTGCAGCCGAGGTCACTCTAGTTTTTGTTTCTCCTTCACAAGCTCTGTCTGAAAGACAGGACTCCGGGGATCTGCTCCTGCTTTTAGAGGAACCCATCTGGTCAAACCCTTGGTGGCTGCCAGAGGAGCAGACCTTGTGGCAGGGGCAGAGACATTTCAGGGGCGTGCTCATTCTGACACATCCGATCGAGTGATCCCTGGGTCCATCTCGGCATTTATAACGCAGTAAACCCCAGTGTCCCCCCTCCCTTCGCCCAGCGCCGTTGGAAGGTTGTCCTCGCTTCCAGGGTGCCTGCATCTGCGAGAGCGCATGAGACTGGAAGCAGTGCGAGCGCCTGCCAAGTCAGCAGGTCCTTATCCTGCCGGGCTCCCTTTGTTTTATTTATTCATGCTATTTTCATTATTTAACCTTTGCCTAGTTCTTACTGCTGCTTTAAGGGCCATGTGTGTGTTTGAACTTGTGTTAATCGAAATGAGGGTGTGGTGTGATGCTGGCCAAGTTAAACCAGGACAGAGCCTCACGCCAGAGCTTTTAATTCAGTTTAAATTGCCTTTTATTAATTGAATCCTAGCTGGCAGGCTGGAGGAGGGGAGGGGTATGTTTCTGAGGAGCTGGAGGCTTTATAATGATTGTGCTAAACTGGGAGACAACCGGACTTGAATAAGGTGAAGAAGGGGCTGAGAATATTTCCCCTCTAAATGTGGATGGAGCCAAAGATAAGACACAAGGGACAAGATGGGGTTATGGCCAGCGGCCGGCTTTCCCCAGGTTTCCCTCTCCCTGTGGAGGCATCCCTAAGATCTCCAACAGTCTGCAACCTCTGACACAAATGTCACGTTCTCCCCACTGTCACTTCAGCTGCGGGTCACGCTTCCCTGATCAGAGGGTTCCTGATCTCTCTGATCTCCTTGCAGGGTGCGGCTGCTTTCTCCTCCTTCCCCAGCCGGGCGACCATGCACAGGAAGGGAGCGAGAGGCCATTTAGCTGTGCGATGTGTCGCCTTGACTCAGCCTTATCAAATCCAGTTCCGAGACCATCACCCCCTCTTTTGACAGTGCAGGGCAGTGTTTCTCGGTGGGTCACCATGCAAGCCGCCTCAGCCTTGCTCGTGAGCAGGGTGTTTAATGGGACAGGGCTCCAGCAGCGAGGCCAGGCTCAGATTCTGGCCGCGGGGACAGACGGCAGCACTGCGCGTCTGCTGGCGGGACTTTTAGGGGAAGCTTAACTGCCTGGCTGAATCCTGGCACCATGAGCTGTCCCAGGGCAGGAGATCTCACGTGCTGAAGCAGAGGGGGGCCCTGGAGATGCCAGCAGAGTCAGGGCTGGGGGACGTTGAGGTGGGTGAAGTCATGTTGTACTTTAAAGCAAAGGAAATCTCACTCCCTGACTTTCCGGACAGTCTTATCCTTGGAGGAGGTTGAATATCCTCCCAAAGACACATGGAGCTGTGATAGGAGCCTGGCATTGTTCTCTGTGCTCCATTTCTGTACTTTTATGGCAAATGGAAGCTGGCCATACATTGTTTTCACTTTCTTTGAGTCTCTTTGAAGAGGGAGCTGCAAGGTTGCAAGGGTGGAGAAGCTCTATGGGAGGGGAAGGATAATAGCTCTCTCTCCTCTTTGGGCTGATCGCTGCTATTGTTGTACATTGTTTTTATTAGGTGTACTTCTCCCTTGTCTGCTGTGGTCATACGTTTTTGTTCTTACAGCAAATGGAAAGGGATTGTGAAAAATTCTGGATTTTGGGTGAAGATTGGACAACTTGAAAATGTGAACTGCTAGTGTCTTTTTTAGGGCTGTTATTATCATCACTGCTAATAACAGTGGCAGCATCTACTGTCTGCGAGTCTTTCACCATGGGTCTAAGAACTTTTAAGACTGATCGGGCAGAGAGTGCTGGAGGAGGTTTGTTGGTATCAGGGGCCATTAGGATATATGATTGTCAGCGGCGGGGAAATGCTGGTCAAAACACAACAGCTTTTGCTGGAACAGCAGTAGAAAAATATAGCAAAACCCCCAAAACCTTAAAAACTGCTAAACTACCTCAGAGTAATACCAAGTTTTTCCTAGCATGCTCTGATCCATTTCTAAAAGACTTTGTCCTTGTTTCCATTAGTCATCCCCCTGAATCTGCCCGCTGTGACAGGACTCTGAATTGCCCACAAGCTAATATCGAAACACGTTTTCCTGCCTGTAGCCACAGTACCGATACTGATGCTTTAACCCATGTCTTACAACAAGGGGTCAAATAAGGCTTGATGTATGTAGCCTAAAGCCTTTCTAGACTGGGTTGGACCATCTGGGATGATGCCAACGTGCAAAGGGGTCTCTTATGCCCTGTCAAGTTGTCCCAAAGGTGGTGGTGAGGAATGGCTTCACCCTGCAGCCCGCGGGAGGTGCTGGAGGACGTGGTGAGGGAGGTCTCTGCACCAGGTAT